CAGCGTCGACTGTGGCACGCATGTCTTACGAAACCATTGTTTCAGCACACCCCTGGCAGCAGAATGTGCAACAGCTGCAAGAAGGCAGGTCACAGCAAAAGCCTCAGCACAGGCAACCAAGGCAACTGGTGGTGTCAGTCGATGATGAAGTCCATACAGCATGCGCTACCGTCCTAGCGAACCTGTGTCAGGCTATCTCTTCCAAATTCCCACAGTAAGCAACAGCAGTAGTAGTTGCAGTAGCAGCAACAGAAGATGCAGCAAGAACTCCACATACCTAATGCCTAGCGATGCTGCAGAGAAGTTGTGCAGAGTTGATGTTCTTTTGCCGTATCAAACGCCTTTTGAAAACGCTCTGATGTTTGCAGGCTCAACCACGTAGCAGCAAACTTACGGGTGCGGTGTATTGCGGTCGTCCCCAAGACTCCCCAGTCAAGGAACACGAGAAGCTACAACGGCAGTAGTAACACGTGTAGCAGCGCACAACGAAGCTGTTCTTGCATTCAAAAAGCTCTACCTTTGGCTCGAGGATTGCTGAAATGTCTTGCCTTAGACCCCTGGGAAGGACTCCGACAGAGCAAGCATTTAAGGACCCTTATTCGGCAGAGGCCGATGCTGCTGCAGCAGCAACAAATTCTAGTGTCTGGGTGGGCTCATATTTTGGATAAGGCGCTTGCTGCAGCTGCTGCAGTAGCGGCAACGCGTGCCAAGCAGTCTCTCAATACGCGCCTTGGAACAGGACTGCAGCGGAAACCAGCATGTCAAGAGTGGTCTGGGGAGCTTATTTCTGCAGCAGCGGAAGGCGCTGCGGCACGAGTTGCTGCTGACGCTGATGTGTGTGCTGAGGCGTTCCGAGCAGGAGCAGCCGCAGCGGCAAGTTTTCTCCAGAGCTGCAGCAGCAGTTTATGGCTGTTGCCGCCAGCAGAATGGCTTCTGGATCTTCATGAACGGTTGCAGAGCACAGAACAACGACGAATTCAGCAGCGAAAAACGGCACGGCAAGCCGTTGCTGCAGCAGCCCTGGCTGGATGTTTTCCCTCTGCAGATATTGACGCACTGTACAAGTTGGCTGAGCCATTATTGCAGAAGCCGCTACAGGAGCAACAGCAGCTACGCGGAACCATTCGTTTGCTTCGTAGAGCATACAGCAAGGAAACAGGATTGTCACAACTGATTAATCTGGCTGCGTTTGCTGGTGCTACCTCCTTTATGCAAGAGCGACAGCAAGGGAAAGGGCAGGCACTGGAGGCAGTTTTCGCCGCTGCGTTTCAGGCAGCTCGGCGCAGCGCAGCAGCTGCTGTTGCAGGGAGCAAGCACCTAGTCCTGCCGCATTCTGTTTGTCGCATCTTCTCAGCACCATCTTTGTACTTTTGGGGAGCGCCCGCGTTGCCTCAGGGTTTGGCAGCCACAACGGCAATTCTACAAGAGAAACTTCATCAGCAAGAACCGTTGCAGAACAGCATACAAATTGAGCTCCTAAAGGGACCAGAGTCTGTGGGCAAGCAGCGAGATCAACTTCAGAATCAGCAGTCTCAGCTGCAAAAGCAAAATGTCAGGCAGCGGCAGTCTCAGCCGTACATGGAGGAAAGCCGACGACTGCGGCGGCGTGTTTGCCGTCAGGCCTTCAAGCTCATAGATGATTGCATGCAATGCGCAGCAGAGGAGACAAGATACATCAGGTCTCTGCTTGAGAGGCTGAGATCTTAACTATCGGATCTGTTTTAGCTGAGGCTAGCTTGCCATCATGCGGCTTTCACCTGTTTACCTTGACCTCGCTACGCTGTTCCCAGCAGTGGACAACAAATTGAGCATTCTTGTGTGGAATCATCTATCTAAATATCCATCTTGATTCTATAATGTAGGTCTAGAAGATGGGAAAGCACCCTGCACACGCGGGTGTCTGAAGCTCCAAGCATTTTGCCACGCAGTTACAACACTAAATGTAAGCACAGTAGATAAGTATGCCAGCGCGTGCGTTTTTAGCAAGCGCGCGTGTAGCAACAACAGAGGCACAGAAGTAGTGGCACCACACGAAGCAAACGAAAGCAAACGAGAAACCAAAAGTGCCACAGACTCCAGTAGCGGTGCACGCCGTCTACACCTTCATTTTACTTCGACAACAACTCCGTCTTAAAGGTGCTGTGTGGCCATGCAAGCTGCATTGCTGGGCATGCCACTACGCTTGTAAAATATGCCTATCGTAGCCCTTTGTGTGTGCGCTCTGGTTTTACTACACCTGATATATCAGCATTAGCCTGTCGTTCCTACTCATCGGCATTTAGAGTCAAGCTGCAGGGTGGATCTGAATTCGCTGACGTGCAGCTGCTGGGATTATTTGAGGAAGTATACAAAAAGTTGTTTCACGAAGAGGCAAGTAGTCCTGTATGCCAAAAGTAGACGAATTGCTCAACAGAAGCAAATGCAAGCTTCCGGTTACAACTGCAACGGGAAAACAGATCCTGGATGAACTTCTAAGCCACCCACCGCACATAGGTATATCCCTTCGCAACGGTGCTTTTTCAAACTGCTGTAGATCTGAATATCTACAATTGCAAATTGCGAGTCATGTTCAACCTTGAATTCTAGGCTCAGGTTCTGCTGCACGTCAGCAAGGCACAATGAGAAGGCTACTGCAAGATGGGTCTTGGCCAATTTATGGTAGAAAACTGTAGCTACGACTCTGCGAAATCGATGGCCACACGCCAGTCTCACGCCCAGGTAAAGTATGGAAAGAAATTGGAAAAGGTTAGGAAGAGGCTCAACCCGTGTAAATGTGGATCCACCCTCTCCTTAGTGTGCAAAATATAGGCTAGTAACTGTGGAGCATCCTATATGCTGGAATTATTCGTCCACTTGCCCTACAGACCCACGACCACACTATCGAACAGCTCGCCAAATGTTGAACTCAGTGACTTTTAGCTATGTCGTGGATTCTGTTGATCAAAAGGGATTGCGCACTTAATGCATTGCTCGTCAAAGAAAACTGGAAAAGTCTACTAAGGCTCGTTTCCGAAGGAGCTGGCATGTCTTCTGGAATGTGTGGGCTGTAGCTGCTTCAGATACGCTCCCAGCTGTCGCCGAAGTCATGCTCTCTGAAGCCTTAATTAATTGTTTAACAGTGTGTTACTTCAAGTAGCGCTTCGTACAGGGCAGAAGCCCCGAGAAATTTTGTTAGTTTGCATATGGGCCGCCTGAACTCCTAGCTGAAGGTGAAAGACCGCTACCTAAAGCGCTAGTGTGGCACTCATATTGAACCTACAATCCAACGCCTATGAGCGCCCAGGAGTGCTGCTAATGTGGCTAAGCTGCCTGAGAACGTGCGCCAGAAATGTGGTCTTCTATAGCCAGCATTGCAAAGCAAACATATTTTAGCTTGGCAAACAAAGTCCAGAGAAGAGCGCAGAGTGAACTGGCAATGTTTGACGACCTAAGCGTGCCAAAACCAGAGTAATTGGACCCAGATGCTGCATCCTCTGGTTCATCTACCTGTGTTGATGGCCTCTTGCACAGTGACTTGTCAAATTCTAACTCACCTGAACCTTAGAGCAGCACACCAGTACTACTTTATCTTCAAGTGTGTCCGTCAGCATCGATGCTCTAGGGCATTGTGGAGCCCCAAAACTACCTACTGCTACTATGTTTGTTCAACGCCTTTCACCTAACTTACTAGCCACCTACAGCAGCTGGACGATATTAGGTACAGCGTTGAGGTCCGTTCTCCTTGCCGCCGAATTCTGTATTGTTCGCTGTCTGCCCTTCTGTGATGCTCCAGTTGTTCTTCCTCACGAAGACCAAAACTCACCTCCACAGGCTTGCTCTCTTCAGTGTTAAGAAAATATTTTCAATTAAGGGGGTTCCTCTCTTGCACGTAAATTTCTTCGTAGCTTTACCCATACTACCCCGAGGCCCGGCCGTATAGCACTCAACCGCATTCACTTCTGTAACCACCAACAATGCACGTAATGAATCCCCAACCTGGCACTTTTGGCGTTACATACGGTGTTGTCCAGCAGGACATCAACGGCATAGCCTTCCGTGCTTCTGCCATACAACGGGCAGAAAACATTGCCTCCGTGGTGCATTTTGTCCCGATGCTCTACTTTCATATCTATAGTCATATTCTGGCTCATTTAACCGTGGCTATTCAATATATGCAGCAGTAGCGCCGTAGATACCCATTCGAACTACAGTGAGGTCAGCACACGCAGTGAAGATTGTACACATGCCCTCGGTCTTGTGGATTTGAAGAGGGAAATCCGTTTCTTCTCCCTCATTTCTGCGCCATTAGCGACACAGATACATAAAATATATTTTGAATAATGCTAGAAGCAATGGGACAACAGTTTGAAGAGCCAGCATTGAGTGTGCAACACAATTGATGCCGTTGTGGCTGCATGCGGGTCCTCGAACCAGTGTGGGGCCATTGCAAGTAGTCGAGACCACAAAAAGAGTTTCTTCTCACTGTAACTACTTGGAAAGTACAAATAAATTTTGCTTCAGAGCCGCGAGGACGCTGAGAGTCCGGTGCGCCGCAGTCCAGCTTCTTTGGCGCCGAGCCGGCTTCGCTGTCAGACGCTGAGGCAGACGGCACACGCTGTTGCCTTCTGGTCGGCGCTGTCACGTTTTGATGAGGCCGATATGCGCCTAGAGAACTTGAGGGCGAGGGTGCGGCCTTACAGCCCCCGCGTCCCCGTACTAGAACTTCAGTCTGGTGTGGCGGGTCGCCTGAGCCGCCTGTTGGTTCCCGCACGGATGAAGGCCCTTGAGCTCACCACGGGTCTACTAGCAGCTCCAAGAAGGTTCAGGGGCTCTTGCGCCCAAGTCGGCTGCTTCTGCGGCAAGAAAGGAGAGGGATCCTAGCAGGACCCGCCGCTATCTCCCTTGTATCTCTTGAACCTACGCAGCTTTTTATCTCCTCTCTGAAGTTGCTGCATTTACGGTGCACCTGAGAATTCACAACCAGCGAAGACGCTTCGCTCTTCACCGGGCTCTGCACCACGATGGCTACGGGGGTGGCAGTGCCTCCAGACAAACAGAGAATCACTCAAGTGGAGAGTTGTAGCGGAACCGCGACGGAGTCCGTTGCTGTTGCGGTTGGTGAACGTATGAGCGCCACTACATTCCCTGGGCAACTGGACGGATGTTCCTCTGTTGCTGCTGCCGTTTGTGCAGAGGCAGTTGCTGAACAAGAGCCAGGGCTCCAGATAGTAAGGAAGGGACGGGCAGGGAGTGCTATTAGCACATGTTCCGTAGGCGCGCCCGGAGGAAGTAGCGGTGCCTCCACAGCAACAGGGGAGCGGGATGGCTCTGTAAGTGTTATCGCTCACTCCCAGGGAGAAAATAGCTCGTTTTATGATGGTGTGGGACCCTCCCGTGGCCCCGTTGGCCCTGATCAGGGTGGCCAAAACTGTAGCGTGGCGGCCGTCTTAAAGCGCCAGGCCCTCCTGGCTGCCATAGGCCTGCAGCACTCGCCAAAATCTGACAGGCTTTATCTCCAATCCCATGCATGCGCTATCCTTCACTTCATAGGTGAGAACTTACGCGGCCGTCTGCTGCGGCTTGTTCCCAAGACCTTTTTTCTGAAGGCTGTAGGCTGCTGATGCACATAATAAGGAAGAAGGTAATATGTAGATGTAGAACTACGTACCTACGAGAGGTTTATTATCTGTCGAGGTGCACTCGTGCTTCCGTGTTTGTTTGCAGCTCTTTTCATGTCCTTCGTTATGCTCGTCACCCTATGGGGCATTTTGGTAGGTGATCCCCTCGGCATGCTTGCTCGCCCTGTGCGCACATTAGGTGCAGGATCATAGAGAGGCTAGCTGCAGATTCTGATCGTTAATTGGTTATATAGTGCGTAGCTGGATGTACGAGGATTTGAACTGCGGTGCAGCATGGCGGACTCCAGAGGGCGACGTAACCGCGTCTTACCCCAATTGTCTTTTCCTGTGACGTGTGTTGAGATCACTGCAGGACGTCGCTGTGGAGATTTTAGCCGGCCCCAATAGCGTTGATCAGTTGCAGGGCTATTCGGTGATGTTGGCGGTCGGTTTATTGCTCACTATCGTGCTAAAGCTCGTTGAGAACCAGGGTCTTAAACTAACAGTCTACCCAAGTAAGGACATAAACATACGGCTCACTAGCACTATGTCTCGAGCTCATGGTGAAGTGTAGAGTTTTATGTACTTAAGGCTTTAGGTGTAAGGGTGGTTTTGCGGGTTTTTCCTCAGCCCTGATTGTCTCCCTGATTACGGTTGTGGCGGCGTGGGGAATTATCGTAGGTCTTCACATCTCGCACCTCTCCTGCTGGTTGTTTCTTGTTTTACTTTTTTTTCGATGGCAGTGATTCAAGGATGCAGTAAACAGTTATGGCTGGCCTCGCTGGCTCGCTTGGCCCCGCTCACGTGGATTCCATGTTTTTGTGTATTTGACCTAGTCCCTCCCCTTGACCAAGATATGTCTCGTTGTCTGTTTGTGTTTTCCTGTACCTGTACGCGTCTCTTTTCTATTCCTCGTCTTCGTGGCGTTTCTGCACTTCGGTCTCCCTGGCTCTCCATATTTACTGTTCGCTTCGGCGGTTATTGGATTGGCCTCTGCTGCCTACTGCATTGCTTCATGTATTTCTTCCCTGTTCTGTGTTCCTTAAGCGCAGCTGTATATTTTTGCGTCGTGCGTTGACTTCGCAGGATGGACTGGTGGAGGTCGGTGCTCTGGGGAGCAAGCATTGTGAAGGTCTGATTTATGCCTTGTTTTTTATTGTGGCAGCTGCTCTCGTGTCTTTACACACCTGCTTCTGCAACAGGAGTTTCAGCACTCAGCTGCACCGGTTTGTCTGTTACTAACACTGATTCTACCCGCTAGTTTTGCAGGTTCATTGGACTGAGTTTAGTTTACTTCGTTTGTTCATTTAAGAAGAAAACCAGCACTGGCGCCAAAACTCAGCTTGTGGGCGTGAAGAAACAATGCGTGTCTACCCCTACTCCCAGGTGTGTGCATCTGTATGTATGTATACCTGTCTGTACATCTGCTCGCGTGTGGCACATTTATAGTTTCAATTTGTATGGTGCAATAAGCGTATTCAGTGCAAACTTGATGCACATATATGGCGACCCTAATAAACAAATTTGACCTAGCAATACCCCTGTTACGTAGCACAAGCGGATACGAAATTACTGTGCGCTGCTCATGAGTTCCCGTTGTTTCATGAGCGTTTAACAAATATGCAGGCGCGAACGCGTCGTGCCATGGCAGCAGCCGAGGGGGTCGGAGGGAGCACATATCCGTACACTGCAGTACCGAAGTGTTCCCCGCCCCCAACGGGCTTCACAAGCTGCAGCTGAAGATGATGGTGCTTTGAGTGCTTGTCCATGCTTTGAAATAATTTATTTCAGAGGACAGACCTTTGCCCGCTTTTTCCTTAGGGATCCATCACTATGCGCACGTCCCCCGGCCCCAGCTGATAGCTAGATGCAACTAGGGCTAGTTAAGTGCAGTGCAGCCTAACTGCAGCAGGGGCCAGTGCCTATTCTTGCAGCAGCTATGGCCAGATAGCCACGGTGGCGCACCAGTCATCCTTCAATTATAGCAACGGGCATTGTGCCGCACCGCTTCCCCTCTGGAGGGCGGGAGCGCTCGCCGGGGCTAGACAGGAGAGAAAGTCAAAGATGAGAAAAGAGGAGACGGCCTGCGTGCTGCTGCTGTTCACATGCATCATTTAGAGTAAGCAGCTTCATGGGGACTTCGTACATGAAGTAGTGTGTGTGTACGAACGAACCAACCATACAGCAAAGGCTGATGAGGGTGACAAATGACAACAAAAAAGTGAGGTATGACTGCCTATGCGTGGTCTTCATGAAGTGGAACACGCACCCAATGCCTACGGCTCCCGCCACGAAAGCCGTTAGGAAGAAGCAAATCGAATCAACGAGCCCTAACCTCCCCAAAATGGCATATTGCAAAGTATTTGCTGAGGAAGTGAAGAAGATCATAAAGTTTGCCGTGCTGACAGCGGCAAGAGGTGGCAGCCCAATCTCCAGCAGTAGGGGCCCCTTGACAAGGCCCCCTCCAATGCCTATGGCGCCAGCCAGAACCCCCGCAGCCATAGACAACAGGGGATAGACGAAAGCAGTAATAGGCGTCAGCCACTGTAGGCCCCCGTCTTGTATATCTTTGTTACTGCAGCCAGCAGCCTCTAGCCTCTGTCGCCTTCTGATGAGCCAGCGGGCAAAGAGGAATGTGCCCAACACATGCACTGAAAACAGCAGATAGATACAACCTTGCTGCCACTGCGAACCGCAGAGCACAGCGACCGGGCCCCCGGCCAGGATAAGAAGAACTACGTTTAAGAGTGAGTCCACCACCAGATAAAGGAAGCTAACTTGACAAGTCCCGCAGTAGAAATCCTTTTCAAACTCGGCCAGAGCGGCTGGCACTACTGCTGAGCCTTCCTGAATGTCAAAGAGGCGGCATGACGTAGTGAAGTAAGTTGTATCCTGGGTGTTCGCTAGCCTCTTGAGGGGCAGCTGGCCCGGTGTATCATCTTCAGCTGGAAGCAACTGCTGCAGCTCTGCTCGGGTCTCTGCTGTAGACCCTAGATGTCCCCTATGCAGCCTTCCGAAGTCGTTTTCTGTGTCGTCCTGCTCCCCCTTCCCCTCAAGCTCCTTCAGAATGCGCGTCTCCTCCGCTCGCTGCGCCAGTCCCTTTTTAAATGTCTTGTAGCTAGTGAAACTGAGGGTCAAGACTAAACAGGCCAGTATCTGGAAGTCAGTCATAACGATGTTCAGCAGCACCCCAATGATAGCACCCAAGAGCGTAAAAGGTTCCATGATGGCTGCCAACTCGTAGTTGATTATGGGAGCATTGGATTTGGGATGGCGACGACGTACATTGATCAGCACAGACATCAAACAGCCCCCAAATATTGTCACTTTCGAGAGAGGTACAGCCTTGTGAACGTCACGAAGAGATATGATGTATCCGGGAATGTACAGAGCACCTCCGCCAGTCCCAGCGCCCGAGGCCAACGTAGCTGCAATGAATATTGCGGCCATAAGAGCAAGCCGGACGAACACATCCATCCTCGCTTGCTCGTGAAATCTGAGCAGGCCTCACCAAACACCTCAGGCAGCCGCAACCTGCCACGCCTGTGAACGGCGTCGCGCTGGCTGAGAGCCAGTAAGCAGAACTCAGCTTGAATCAAAACTAAACTAAAGGCACAAAAGAAGGAGCATGGCCTCCAAATTTAGATGTGGATACAGTCGCATCCCAGCCAGGCGGGTGGTCTCAGGTTGCCGACGAATGACCCGATGCGGAAAAGTCTACATGTATTCGATGCACGTTGAGCCTTCACTCCTCAATTACTGCAGTCCAGAGCTTAAACATCCCTTTTGCGAACAATAAATCGTAAGATCCTCAGGCACGAAGCCAGTTTGCATGGCTGGACAGCCAAGAGCGTCGTTGAGTCATCGGGGCCTTGGTGGCCACCTTTAATGCAGCGCGCTGGTCATAGTTAGGAGTCCTCTGTCTTTAGTATTGTGCGTGTCAATGAGTCCTTTTGCTGAATACTTTTTATAATACTGATACCTTTCCATCAAATTTCTCCCCTGATACGCAACAAAATCTCTAGTTACGCTTCGGCAGTCTGCTTGCTGCATGCACAACTGGCACAACCAGTGGTACAATTACCTGGAACACCCCTGGAACCTTGGCACAAGCTTACACGTATCCACATTGCCGACAGCGCATAGATTTTGCACACGCATCAGTGCCATCTGAACCGATTCATGGATAAAGGCAAGCTCAACAAGGCATCATGCAGCACATCTGCATCTGGCAGCGTCGCCAGCTGGGCCTAAGTGACTGAGCATTGCGTCGTCCAGCTGCTTGGTCTTTCCAAAGATATGGCTTGTTATGGCAACCTTGAAGCTCACGCGATCATATTACATCCATAACGCATATGCCTGCAGCAGTGAGTAGGATTCAAAGTAAGGGCAACAGAGCATGCTGCTTCAGCGATCACGTTCAGGGCCAGCGACCCAGCTCCCCTAGGACGCATATTCTCTTGGCTTTTTAGCAAACCTCTTGTCTAAATTCTCATGAAGCCCATAGGAGTATCTCATTCTTCTCGAGACCTCTCTACATCATGGCCCTGCAAGCACGCCAAAGTGTGCCTGCAGGCCCATGTTGCAGGCAGGTCAGGTTCTGCCTTCACAATGGCATAAATTGAATACTGGTATGCTTTCTCCGCTGCTGAAGTTTCCGTGACAGCACCGTGCTTTGACTTGATAGGCATGGAAGTTTGGATTTTCCTTTGCCGGACACCTGGTCATTCCCCAGTTTCTCATAGCTACCATTCCGGTACCACAATGCACTTTTCCCCTTTATTACTCAGTTTGCACATTCTGTGATTCATTTTATTCATTGTTCAGTGCTCTTACCGCTGTGGCGTGTAATCACAGTCTACGGCTGCACAATGGATCGTTGCGGCAACTACTTAATAGAGGGTTCGCTGGATGCTCCAGCGCCACTAAATTTGGGTGACGTGGACACGCCTTCAAGTATCGCGCCTAACTGAATGTCCTACGGTTGCAGCGCGGTAGACACTGTACGCATGCGGGGGAAGGGGAGTATGTTAGCAGCTCTTTGTAAGGTGTAGTTCTCTTGAAACAGTTTTTAGGAGGCGGCAGCACTTTTTACAAAGCCTGCACTGGGCATCTCAACAATCAGAACTAGCTGTAAAGCTTGTTAGCTATGTCCTTTGCTATTCGCTTGTACTTCCGTAGGTAAGCTAGCAGCCTCATTGGTGCCCCTAAGGTGAAGGTTTGCTATGTAGAAAACATCAAGCGTGAACAGCTAATGAAAGATGTGCATCAAATAACATGCAAGTTCAGCCTAGTGACATGGTTTGCGTGATATGCCGATGGCATGCCCATGACTTAAGAAACTCAACAGCTAGGAATTCAACCAATTCCCATCTGCCATTCCTGTTTGTTTCACGAACGATTTTGGCGGCAGGATCACTCATAGAAAACAGCCAGATAAGCACGTGAATGCAAATTATTGTATGCAGACAGGAACTTCCTTGTGGAAAGTAAATTAAAGTGAAAGCATGAAAGTGTAAAGACATATGGCGCTGCTTTGCTCAAAAGCAGTTAATGAGGGTGAGGAGTTAAAGAGCCAAACTGCGAGGGGCTGCCGCCCCCTTTCCCTGCCTCCGGTAGTGACTTGGCTGGCCAAAATCGGAAGGCACAGGGTGAATACGGCGATGTATTTGCATGCAGATGTGTTTCGGTCCGTGTTTTGTGGGGAAGTTACTCGTAAGAATCTGCCCCTTGTTACTATCGCTCCAAGGCACAATGGAAACTTCATTTCTTGCCATTTTTTACCAAAGCAATATATCGTCCGTAGGAATTCAGCGGCCTTACTCTCCAAAAAATCATATTCTTATCCCCTGTCACAGGATTTGTAGGCTAAAGGCTCATGCGCTAGGTAAAGCCATAGGCTCATGCGCTAGTTAAAGCCATCTTTGCGCAGGGAGCCCTTGTTAAATGTGTACATGGCAGATGTCCAGGCAAATGCATACATTGGTTCAGCCGCGACGTGCTTACATGCACAAGGTGGCTGAACCATTGCATGCTAAGACGTAGTGACTTTAAGCTTGCTACGAACACTAAACTGCATTCTTTTCATAGCAATGAAATATGGGCCGAAAGTGCATTGTCTTCCTCAAGGCAATGAAATATAAAAATAAAATCCTTCAAGCTGCAGTATTGTAATGATAAGTTTTAGCCGCGAAAACCCTGCTAAGTACCTGTAAGCACACGGTACGCTCTGAGCCTACACAGTGAGTCTCAAGGCCCTGCCGATTCCCGTTAAAGTGAACGCATGGGGATGGGAGAGCTACAACCCCTCCTTCTCTCTACGAGCCTGAACTTCAAGACCCTCACTTTAGGTTGTGCCCCTTTTTTCCGCAAGCACCCATTTCAACGCGCATGGGTAAGGCCTTCAGACTCACTCCATTCAATGAGATTTGCCCTGGGCTAACCGGTACTTTGGGTTGTGCCTCTTCTTCCCCTCAAACACTGACGTTAAGGCGCATCCATGGGGGCTTCAGACTTACTCTGTAAGCTCGGAAATTTACCCTGGGCTAACGGTTATTTTGCAGTGTGCCAGAGGCCAAAGCATACGGCTTTAGCTATCTGATTCGGTCCGTAGCTCGGTTGCACAACCTTCCCAAGCCTGCATCTGATCAGCAGGATCCAATAACAGGCACACCATACCTGGGTGCGCTGCTCCTGCTGTAGCATGACTACCTTCCAAGGGAGTGCGGTTCCTTCGATGGGATTATTCTGTATCCTGTTCGATATTGCGCATTCATGTTACACTCACTCCAGCGCACAGCAGCCCTGCACGGAAGGGCTTAAACAGGGCTTGAATAGTCTGAGGCACAAGGCGGGTTTCCGCGTATCCTTCTAGTACTCGGTGTGCCGGACGGCGGCCCACCCTTTCCTTATGAGTAGAGCCGCGCCTTAAGTATTTGGCGCACATGCAGTTCAGCGCATTGTCGCCTCATGTTGGGCATACACAACATAAGCAGGTAAAATGTTTCTGCCCGCAGCACTCTTCAGAGATTACTTTGCCAGATATTCGCCCTGACCCGCCGCGCTGAGCTTCAGGCTATGCTATCATTGCTCTACTGCAGCTGAAAAATGTGCGCAGAGCCTGTACAGGATGCACAGTACAACTCAAAGCAAAGAAAGGCTCTGGCTGGTGAGCCGACAGCTTGCAGTTGCAGGAAGCCCTGTGCCCCACAGCGCCCGAGAGCGCCAGCGCTGCGGCTGCTGCCTCTGGTTTAGCGCCTAACAGGAGGTTCTGTTCCCGTTTTTATTGGTAAATTTAGCCTGGTTCATTATTGTTTAGTCGAAATTTTAGAGTTCTGTCATCACCTGGATACTGCGACACCTGAGCGAGGTACTCTGTGGCGCGGCAGTGGGCGCTCCTGTTCCTCCTGCGCTTGAGTGTGTGATTTTCTCTCTTTGTCCCTTCTGCTGTTGTGTCATCTCCATATGTGCTTTCGAGTTCATTCTTTTATGTTTTTTCACTAGACGCAACAAGAAACGACAAGTGCAGGAGGCCGCAACAGGGCGGCAACCTTGGGGGCCCCTTGGGTTAAGGGAACTGCCTTACGCAGCCTTCTGGTGTTAAACGTAAGACAAGTAACCATAGGAGTCTGGCGGGTGTGTCTGTTTCGAATATCTGGATTTTTGTTGCTTTTTTCGTGCGGGTTCTGCCCCACTGCTAGTGGTGTATTGTTGTCTTTGCCCTCTCCTGTCAAACCCCGCTTCGTAAATTCCCGCCCATTGCATCCAGGAGGGGCTGCACGGAAGTGGTCTCTTCGCACGAACTTTAGGTATTCGAAGTCCAAGGTGTCAGGGCTACCCTGTTGGGGGCGCTGCCTTGCAGCCGCTTCGAGTCAAAGGTCGTTGACAAAGTGTGCTCTCCTATTGTTCGGCCCTTCGTCAGCAGCAACATCAGCAGCAGCATCAGAAGCACCAGCATCAACAAAATAGGATAATGGCGAGCGGCATGGGTGATAAAGTCGCCCTCGCTAACCCTTATGAGGTGCTGAAGGAGGAAGATGCGCTCCAGCGCCGTCTGGAGAAGCAGGCCGAAAGGGAGCGTCGCCGTCGTGAGCGACGTGAGGAGAAAGCGGCAGCAGCAGCTGCTGCTGCTGCCGCCTCGGCAGCAGCGACTGCGGCGGCGGCTGCTGCTGCGAAAGCCCAGCTTTCCCCCGGGGCGGCATCTCTGCTGCAGGGAGCCCGGTGGGCCGACGTAGAAGTGGATTCTGAAGACGATGGGCCTCTCACGATGACAGACCCCTGTCGAGGTGTGCTGAGTGGTGGCAGCATAGGAGGGCGTAGGCTTCACCAAAGGGACGCCTTCTACTCAGATGTGGAAACGTCTTCCGAAGATGATCTTGCAAGTGGTGCTGCGGAGGATGCACACGGAGAAGATCTTGCTGCCAGTAGCAGCAGCAGCAGCGAAGAGGATGAGGCTCCCGCAGGCAGAGAGCAGCAAGTCAGGTCGCCAACAGATGGCAGGAGAAAGGCTAAAGGTGAGCCTACTCTACCTTGTGATAGTTTGTCGCCGTTCGTTCATCTCTGCAGCTCTGTGTCTGTCCCTTCGGCCTCTCCTTGTTGCCCGTGTTTGAAAGGGAGTGGAGAGGTCCGCCCGCAGTATGACGAAAGAGAGGTAGCAGTTTTGTCAGTAGAAGGCGTAGCTAACAACTGCAGCACCACCAGCGAAAATAATGGTGTGTGTGCGCTGCTGTAGGTTCAGGTGGAGTTGCTTCTGATCCTCTAAAGGGGTTGAGCAGGAAGGAGAGAAAACAGCGTGAAATGGAGGAGCTCGAGAAGGCCTTGAACGAAGCTGGAAGTAAATTGACACTTCTGCTTGCCCACTTTTCTTACCTTTGCCTATCGTGTATGCATTAATGATGCATTTGCTGCAGCTGAGAATAGGCACACGGTGTTGCCTGTGTTCTTTGCCGCAGTCACACCGTCAGTCCCCGTGGAGCAAAAGCAGCAGCAGCAACAGCAGCAGCAAGAGGTGGGGATCAGCAGTGCAAACGGGCGACCCTCCGGCAATGTGGAAAAAAAGAAGAAAAAGAAGTCGCAGCAGCAACAGCTCCAGAGGCAGCGTGAATCTGAATCTGAGGACAACGCGGACACCCCTGTAAGTCTTGCCTGCACTGTTGCCCCAGGGTCCGCTGCAAATGTTCCCTCGGTTAGTGTGGAAGCTGCTCCCTGTGCTTATTGTGGCGCTGTTTCTTGTGCTCCTGCAGGCAGCGCCAGAAGACCCGGCGAAGATCGCTGCTCGCCTTAAGGCGGCGGCTGCAGCAAAGCGCAGCCCCGCAAGCAGTAAAGAGTTGGCGAAGAGATTGGCCGCTCAAGAGGCAAAGGCGAAGAAGGAGAAAGCGAAAAAGGAAAAGAAGCCAAAACTCTTTTTTCCCCCGAAGCAATAGTGCAATTGCATATTCATGGAAGTTACTCTACCGGTCCGTCTGCTGTTACTCCGCAACAACTCCCATCCTCGGTTGCGCGTCACTTACATGGCAAAACTAGCTGTTGCTTTGGCAGTTGTTCCTTTCAGACGGGCCAATGCAGCGCAGTAGGAGCCTCGGCTGCAGTGTACCCTTAAAGCCGTGTTGTTGCGGCTGTGGCGTGAGCGCCAAAGCCAAAACAATCGTCTTCCAACTTTGCGCTGAGTGCTTGAAAGTTTACATGAGCTTGTGAAGGAGTGAGATTTCGGAAGGTTCCGATTTGCTCATGCAGTGAGGGTACCTGGCAAGGGAAATTGCTGGGCGTATGTGCGGGGCTTCTTTTTGATTGTGTTGTGCCTGCAATGCGCGTGTCCAGTGTGGTAATTCAGTGCGGAGTTGCTGGTGAACGTAACCAGTTGCTTCGCGCCGTTGTCTGCAGCGGGCGGATCAAAAGGTTTTTCATGAGGATGATGCAAACCGGCAAACAGTGAAGGCCGCGCGAGCAGAAGGCTTTTGCACTAATAGAGATGCCGTTAACAGCCAAGTATCATATAGCCTTTATCTGTACGCTGCGCTGAAGTGTGACAGAAACGGAGAGAGTCGCTGCAGGTTTCCCGAAGACATGTCGGGATAGCGTAGCTTCAGCAGTGGCAGTAGTTGCGGGCTGCGGAGGAATTGAGAGGTGGAGCTCACTGCAAAATAGTTCTTGATGCTAGTGTCATTCCAGTTCACTCATTGTGCAAAGGTTGTGTTGTAGCAACTAGGCCAGGAAGTGCCGCTGCGTTAAAGCCCGCTTGTGCGGCGCTAAAGCTTGGCTGAAATACCCCTGCGGTCAATGGGTACAAAAGGCCGTGGGCGGGGCCCTGTATAGATAGAAGTTGGCCGAATCAGTTTGTTGACTTCGCGCTGCTCGATCACGTGGGCAGCCCACCCAGCGGTCCTTGCAATGGCAAACAACGGCGTGAAGAACAGTGCGGGCACTCCGCACCTGCAATGACAGTAAACGCATATTCACGCCCCTGGAAATGGGACTGTGCTGGCAACGTAGAACAGCGGGGACTGTGCTGCGCTCAAGGCGGCTGGTGCAGTACAGAAACGTATGGAAAAGCGCAGCAGCAGCGAGAGTGGAAAGTGCGTTCAGCTGACTGCTTGTAGGCAATGGCTGCAGAAAAGTCAACGTTGGGATGCATGTTCTTCCTCCTTAGCATCTCTTCCTCGACAAACGCCCCGATCTGTACCATTTGGGGATCTGACTCCGGCAACTTCGCGGCAGCAAGGGCCTCGGCGAGGCCTCGCATCAAGGGGGCTCTTGGGTCACCGCTCTTGTACATGCGGTGTCCGAAACCCATAATCAGCTCACGACGAGAAAACGCTTCCTCTAGCTGGGCGCAGAAACCGGGAAACTTTGCAAGCCAAGAGTAGCCATAGAAATCGCTTTGTCAGGAAGGTGCAGAACCCGCTGTACGAACAACAGGGAGCAGCAGCAGGGGGCAGCAGGGAGTAGCAGCGAGCCGCTGCTTGCTGCGTTGAAACTACCTACCCGCCTTTGTGCCTTTTGAATAGAAGTCAGAGGGAGCAACATTTCCAGGGCTGCTTCGTTGGCCCCCCCATGCAGGGGCCCTTTCAAAGTCCCTATTCCCGAACAAATACAGCTATAAATGTCACTTCGGGTTCCCGCAGTCACGCGACAAGCAAAGGTCGATGCTGCAGCCGCCGAAGCAAAAAGAATCAATATGCAGTGAAGTAGCACAGGAAATGTCGGAAGCGGTAGCACCAGTAGCGCACAATAGGTTACAGATGAGGGCAGGTACCTAATGAGGCACAATGGAGATTTGTTGGGGAAGGGGGAGTGTTAATGCTCTTACCATTAAAGTCGTGTTCCGCATAAAGAATGAGAGACGTGTCGAGTGTCTTCACAACGACAGGATGAGGCTGAATACACAGCGCATGCCTTTGGTATAATAGCTATTATTAGTTTATATATAATTGTAAATTATGTGGACAATTATAAATTATATACCAATTATTATTAGAAAGCCACTGACAGGATGAGGATGAGTACACAGCACACGCCTTAAAATAATAGGAATTACTAGTTTATGTATAATTCTAAATTATGCGGATAATTTTTAATTATATATAAATACCTATTATTATTTTAAAATAATAAGTGAGCCTTGAAAAAAATTTATAATTATTAGATACATCTTGAAAAGCTCTGGGTTCGATTTCTAGACAGCCCACTTTTAAATGGCAAAAGGGTTAAGATTTTCCCGTGTCCCCGGTGTAGTTCTAAACTCTTGGCTCTGCGCTCAAAGGCAGACCTGGCTTTGTTCTTCCTCGCCTTACCTTGAAAGAGGGGTCCCCATGCAAGAGCTTTAAAAAATTCGTAGCCACCGAGTCCTCCGGATCCGACTGAAGCGATATTTCCTTTCCCGAATTGGTGTAGTGAAACCAATAGCTCAGAGCTCCGGGTAAACATCCAATAAGGCGAAGGGCGATCTGAGAAGCGAAAAAGGTAAAGGGCAAGAGTTGAACAGCCTTCAAGCATAGCCTTCCGTGGATTGAAGCTCACATGGCAGTGCGAACTGCGCAAGCTTAGTCTGTGTGTGCAAAACGTGTATCCTAAGGCCCTTCCGTACGTCAACTTGTTGCTGAGTAGGATTCCTTTCTGGCTCCAAACTCCCCAGGACAGAACAAGCTGTCCTCAACACATCCTGCGACGTGGAGATGGGACAAAACGATAAGTATCAACACACCGGTGAGGAGCACTTCACTACGCTATATCGCATTTCAATGCTTGCTGCTTGCGAAGGGTTAGGGCTATCTTTTCGTGGCACTTGGTCCCACCATAGCATGCGCATCCTTTGGAATTTGCTTGAGAACAGTAAGGAGTTGCACAGGCAGCTGCCTTGCCTTGTAAAGCTTCTGCTTGAGGTCCGACAGCTGTTGCTGTGTTGGCAATTCTTTCAGCAACAGCAAGTGAACAACTTCTTCGAAGGTCGCTTCTCGTGCCAAGTCCACCACATTGTATCCACGGTAGTTCAGGCCTTAGAAACGCACCCCAATTGCCGCATACTTCTATACGCCTGCTTTTTTTATACATTAGCGTTTTGAAAGCGTCATGAGGGCTGTGTTCCACCGTTTGGAGCGCAATACGCATAGAGCTCCTGCGGGACGTGATCGCGGAGACTTGCTCACCGCTTCCTAGTGCCACGGTGCAGATTGATGACTCTCCAGCAACAACACCAGCTAGGCCACCAGAAGAAGTGCTTTTGAGGATCTTTCCGGGAGACTCATTCTCCTGGCACGTTATCACAGAACTCGTAACGTTGCGCTTCAGGTTCCTGGGGCCCGTTCTAAGGGCAGTCGCAGAAAAAGCATGCGACAACATAGCTTTGAAATTAATTTTAATGGTTGCGTGCGCAGACACGAGTGGCTCCTGATATCAGGCGTGGAAGCTAACAGTGCTTGAGTGACCCCGGTGACCCTCGAGTTTCACAAAGGCGGCTATTAAGATACAGTGTAACTCAGCAGAGGAAAGTACGCATGATTATTGTTTTGAAAAGCTCTGAAAGAGAGCAAAACGATACAGGGTACTGCCTAAAATAGGTTGGAAGCGGCTGTGTGGTGCTTGCGGCGCGGCGAGCAAAATTCAAGACCTGGTAAGAACCTCGCGCAGATGCGATTCCTGAATTTGTCCTCAGTACTTAGCACATATTTTTTAGTGTTGTTTATGTGTTTTACTTTTAAGGAGTTAAATAGCGGCCCCTCGACCTCGTCGCCAAACCCAGCCGTGCTCTTTGAACCCAGCGCAGCAGCAGTTAGCAATGCCCAGCCTATCCAAGTAGTAGATCATTGTCTTCATGAGTCTTCTAGTTTCCGAAATGGTGCTCCACTGGGGCAAAACTCCACAGTAGCTCCACCCCAGCAGAAACACCCTGAGTCCCCCAAGCAAGCCATTAGGCACACACACTCTGCAACAAGCTGCAGCTTCCTCCTACTGTCCAGCGAGTCAAGAAATATTATCAACCACGCAGGAATTTTGTAGCGAGGAATGTCATCCCCACGCACACACCGCACGGGACCGCCAACAGACTCCTCGACACAGGCTGCGTGCCTCACCCCAGTACCACCGAAGTATTCTGCGTAACCTCCTGATCCCTCCCCGCCAGGGAGAACTCTTACGAAGCGCACGATTTCAGACGCACGCCCCTTACGTGCCAAGGAAAGTTCCCCTCCTCTCTCTATGAGAACATTCGTATCATGCCTCTATCTAGGTGTGCGACATAAAATGACTCCTTTAGCATGCGGGCGCTTCCGCCTATACTCATGATTCCCCTATAACTTCCAACATTTCGCTCGTCACACTTCAGCTACCATGCGTTCAATCATTCTACACTAATGCGTCCCATTCCAATGGATTATTGGATTAGTGCGCGTTCTTCAACCTAACGTAACCCCCACCCAAAATTAAGGCTGGAACTGTAGAGTCGAAAACCCTGCTTTCTGCACTGAAAGCCTGTACCGGCTGATGCCGTTTCCTCGCGTGCATGTCTGTTGCGGAGTCTCAACCCTCTGCAACCTCGTATACGTGTATGTTTCCGCTCGTCGTACCAATGAACAAGGTGCGACCATCGTATGACCAGTTGAGAGAAGTGCACCACGGAATGCCGCTCTTGACCGGCTGGTCTGGGTGAATGTCGTCAAGCACATTTTTATTTTCCAGGTCCCAAATCTGCAGGAACCAAAACAGAACGCGGAGCGTACATTCTTCGCCAAAGCGAACAGACGCATACCATCACCAACTCATATGCTTGTTGAGTAACACGCAAACAGAATGCTGCTCCGAAAAGAATAGTTGTTTACACGCAAGCCCTCTCAGCAGAGGGCTGCAAATCAATACGAGGAACGGAATCTCGTCATCGCAGCGTCACTACACCGGAATTGAAACTATCTAACAGCGAAAACCACGCAAATCTTCCAGCAGCTTACCTTAACAGATTTGTCGGTAGCAGCGCATAGCCAGTAGTTGCAAGGAGAGAAGCACAGGCTGTTGATGGTGCAGCTCGCATCGAGCGAGTACAGATGCTTCCCCTCACTCACGTCCCACAACATGGCTACACCGTCCTTGCCACCCGAAGCGCACAGCGAACCGTCCGGGGAAACCGTTACGGTATAGAGCACAGACGTGTGGCCTACAAGGTTGGTCGTGAGCTTGCAGGTTGTCAGACTCCAGACCTGATGTCACAGTTATGCACAGTGATCTGTATCAAGGTTGTGTGATAGCTAGCGAAGATCATGAGAAAACTGACGCACAACTGCACGCCGAATGTTTGCCTGAAACGCGCCTAGGAATATTTTCTAGACACGCCATAACAGCAGCTACAGCGGTGCAAAGATAATCTACAAAACCGTGTTTTTAATGAAGACACGCTATCGCAACAATGCCGACCTCAATGCACCGCACCAGCAATAGTAAGCCCAGCGTGGTTGCATCATCTGGCAAATTTGACTAACCCAGTACCCCTATGCAAGTGTTCATCCCACCAAATGACCGACAGAGAGGGCATGCCGAACACTCATCACTCTTTCGTGTGAAAAGGCATACCTTGACGAGTTTGTCCCAGCCACATGAAACGATAAGCGGCTCCTTCGGAGACGGAGAGAATCTGACGCACGAGACCCAGTCCGTATGTTGGCCCTCTTCGATAGTATATTTGCAGTCAGCGAGGGTATTCCACAGACGAACGGTTCTGTCGCGAGAACCCGACACAATCTGCCTGTTGTCTGCACTGAAGGCGACGGAGTTGACGTCGGAGGTGTGCTTCTGAAAAGTGCGGACAGTCTCCCCCACATTCAAATCCCATAGACGAAGAGTTTTGTCCCAAGAACCGGATAGTGCAAAGTTCGAGTCACTCGAGATGACCACATCCTGGACGCATTGGGAGTGTCCTGTAAGTGCACGACGGGCGAAGCCAACAGTTTCTGCATCCGGCGAGTCGTTTAGATTCCACACGATGATCTTCTTATCTGCAACAGCAAACAAGAGTAAATCTATAGCCAGCGCAAATTACAAATCTGGGGGAAGCTTGATCGTCTTTCCGAGAATCACAGAAGGAAGAAAAGGGGTGACATCAAGAACGACGCAATCGCGACCGCCGGAGATTTTTTGCGGCACTCGCCTAGAAGGCGTACGAGTGAGCTGGAATCTCATGTCATCCTCTGTCCCCAACACTGGAACAACAATTCAGTCGCTCGTGCGACAAGTACAAGGAAAACAAGATACTTGCGGACCCTCAGGGGGGGCAACAGAGCCCCTCAGAGATTTCTCACGACATAGATCGTCAGATCTACAAGTGAGCTGGGATCTCGTGTCATCCGCGTGTCCTTTGGATAAAACTGCCAAAGAGAATGCCATGAAACACCTTTGCTAACGCCGCTTTGGAGACAAAGACACAACAGAGCGGCGCGTCAAGGTGCACCAACCGGGCAGTATAGGTGCCACTGTAGCCCTCTCATAGAATGCTCTCGCCCTGGCAAGACTTTACGAGAAGGATATGCTTGACACCCAATGAGAGCATCAACAGATTTGACGTCGGCATGACGGCGCAAGTCAAGCACCTAAGAAACCGTCACATTTCCAGGAGCATACGGGCGCAATTAAACGACAAAAAGACGCTGCAGGCGCTCCTTACACTGCATAACTATTGCAGTATTCTGCAGTGACTCGCGGCTGAAAGCCTATGCATCAGCGGCGCATAGGCACCCCACAGCACAACCTCAGAGGGCAGCCTCCAACCGAAAACGGTACGTCCATAAGTGAATTTACCAGAGAGTTATTACATGAAGAGGACTGAATTAGCAGTGACGCAAACTTCAGATAAAGCTGTACGGCTTGGTGCACGCAGGCCCCAAGGCTTGTTCAGAAGTGATGTCGGCAGCCCGCAGAAAGACCAACATTTAACGGAGACGCCTGGGGGAGATGCGAAACGCACAAGTAATATAAAAAACTGCACAGAATAATTCCTCTGACCTCGCGAAGAAGAAATGATCGTGTTGCTCTTGACGGTGGGCGTGGAGATGGCCGTTACCCAATCTGTGTGGCCCTCAAGGACACCCTTGAAGACGAGGGGGGAATCCACTGAAACGCTCATTTTCGCAGAGCCTAACAGAGCGAAACAGTGAAAAACGTAAAGCGCAAACACTCAGGAACATTGCGCATTCCCCCCACTTTAGGTACAGGGGGAGTGTATCATTTCGACGCATGCCGCGTGGGGAGCTGCGATTGGCGGGGTGCAGCACCAGAGCAACATAGCAGCTCCCCGCATGCATGAGTCCCACAAATGGGACTTGTGCCATATCATCCATAATATCTTCGAATGTTATTTCAAAGGTTGCGTTTTAGTGAGTTGTTTGCACGGTATTTTACAGTGAAGGACGAGCGAAGTGTAGGGACGCAACTGCAGCCGTGCGTGCCAAGACGTTATGGGCATTGGCTTGTCGAGTTTAGGGGAGTAGAGCGCTTCTACTAAAACTGAAGTAGGCCTGTATAAAACCTATAGTACATAAGCAAATATGTACGGCCTATTTCGGTCATATTAGTTCTGAGGATAAGTTATCGCGATGCAAAACTAGCGGCTTCAAGGGAAATAGAATAATAGTTGAAGGGCATTCCTAGCGGATGAAATAGTACAGCGTGGCATTCGATTATTCTGACCCTGAGTGCCCAGTATGTACAATAATGACTACAGAAGACTTTAAATAGGGTCTAAGTGTATGAGCGGCGTCCGGCGTGGCAATTTTTGTTGGCGCGGCGTGGACAGAGGGAACTGCCAATATGCCACTGTGGAGTGCTGGAAATTTTTTATTTCGTGAAGTAACCTTGGTGAAGCGACGATCAGAGGAGTTATGCATATGAGGAAGCACCACATGCGCCTGAAAACCCACTAGGTGAGAACCAGTGGAAGCGTCCCCAGTCTAAGAACTCAGTTCACGCATAATGTGGCTGTGCGTTAGAGAGGCAAATAGAACTGAAGTTGTTCATGAAGGGATCGGCGGACCATGTATATCCCCTCCGCCGCACCGCCTCTGCGCGCTTTGACCATTCTCGCTACTGTCCCGTGGCTGAGAGCCCTTGAAGTTAGTAGCTAGTGGTGTTCAGGACCACAGAGAACACGTAAATAGACCATTTAATGCATCATAGCGGGGGCGACAGATTTAGGCACGGTCTCTTCCTTTCATCTTCTTGAGATGTGGAAGACTCTCGCCCCACGCCTTTTCTTAGGAGCCAGGAGCTTCAAAACAGAAGAATCCGCACGCAGGCCGCTCTGCCCATTTCTACAATGTGTGGATACAACCTTGTCCCGTTGAAGCTTATCACGGCGTGCCCGTGTTGCACACTGCAGCCCGTACTCTGGGCCTAATTTCAGAGCACACAAGGCCTGATTTCTCGATAACTAGGTCCCTTTGCTTGATTTCAGAGCCTGCGAATTACGTCGACCGGCATATTTTGTGTTGCATGACGCCGAATGTCATTTCTACGCAGTATTTCAGTGCTGTGCTTTACAGCTTACCAACAAGAAAATCGTCGATCTGAACAAGGTAATCCTCGGGCTTCCTTTTCCTGCTCCTGGGTGAAGTAAAGGGGCTTCAAGGGTACCAGCTGGAGATTCAGTAGACTGGTAGTGAGCTGCAACGCGGCTGTTCTGCAAATCTGCAGGAAGGCCCCGTCGGTCCCACGAACTCATGGTGCGTCGCACCGTGGCTGCTCAGAGTATGTGCATAAGGCTGCGTACTGAAGTTGTGCAGTAGCAGACGTTGTTGGAGTCAGGCACTATCAAGTAATCGTCTTTCCCCACGAGGCATTTTGTGCTATCAGTCCCTGGGCATGCAAGCCCACAAAGTACAAGATGCTTTAGGGGCACTGGCTCCCTTAGTGAAGTAGTGTAAAATACCGCAAGCTAAGTAGAAAGCACATCAGGATAATTGCTGTCTTTGCGCAAGAGCCGCCACTAAACGCCATTATAGAGGTCGGTGCGATGCTCTCTCTGTTTACGCCAACCTTCACTTTTCCAGGAGTCCCGGCATCACTGATGCAGCAGCCAAGAGACATGGGCTTGCCTTGGGCGCCTTCTTCGTAGCATATCCTTCTGTTTGGCGGGGAGCTTTATTTGCCGCGGAATATCTGGTGGGCTCGGTGAATTGATACCAAAGCGATGCCTCCAGCTCTACAGTGGCTAACCTTTGATGCACATAGAAGATGACACGCGGTAGAGGGCACTGGTAGCATGGCTTACTTGGCTGCTGAGAAGTATATCTGCGGCTAGGGATCTGGATGGCATTACTGTCCTTCGTAGCATTTCTTGGGGCCATCTAGCACAATGTGGGGTGCTCGTGCTGAGCTGTACTGCGGCTGACGTAAACACGTATGCAGCTGTGTCTGCCTGATGTCTGTGTGCGACAAGGTTATTGCTTTTGGTTTCGGCGCAGCACGTAAGGGTTAATCCAACGAAGACAGAAAGAATTCAACAACACACCTGGCTCATGGTTTCTATAGCGGCGCACTCAGTTTTTTGAATCCATAGCTACCACTGCTTACTCATTCCGGGCGTTGCCACAGTAGCGGAGCACCTAACGAGAGGCAGTGTTTTACTGTCATCGGTCCTAATGCGCAGCACCATGTGTTATGCAGTGCCTATCTCTTTGAAGAAAGTGGAGTCGCCTGCAGTAGTCGCACCCTTTAGACGAGTGTACGTGAGTTATGACGGCTTTCCAAGAAGCTGGCTGCCTTTTATTCTGCTGCATCTTGGGACGGTGACTTTGCGATAATGTAGGGAGACGGAACGTACACAACACGCCGTGCAACTAAGAAGGAAACTCTCTCGGGGAGACCTATCTGCGCACCCTAAAAAGCCTTTTTATGGATTTCATCAGTAAGGGCGGCCACGATTGGGCGTCATCCTTCCAAATGTGCTTTAGCCTGCAACTTCACTCTGCACACGATGACGGGCATTTCCCGTGTCTTCTTGACGCACGGTTGCTCGGTATTTCTGTTTGCAGAGCAATGCCAAGATAAGCAGTGCTCAGCTGATATATTTTGGCTGTGGCCACTGCGACTCTGCTACTTGAAGGTATGCTTCTACTAGTCGCAGGTTAACGTAACTGCTGGCAGCAGGATGCTTTTAAATGATACTTGCACTGAGTTCAACGGAAAAGCCCAGGTTTTGATCAAATTAAAAGGGCAAGGCAAGCTATGTAAGTGCCGGATTCCTGTTACATGCAACCCTCAACTGGAGTCGACAGGCTTTGTCAAAAGGTTCACTTATCAAGTCCGGGACCTGGCGCCACAAAGAATGAACAGATATTTTACTAGTCCAAATAATTACACTCCCCAAAACTGGAGCTACGTGTTTCAGTCATATTTAGGTTGACTACCAGCTGCTATGGGCAACCTTGTGTATCCTAGGAGCTCACAAGTCCCTGGGTTGCAGGAGGTGTGAGTCCAGGAACTACTAGCCTGCGCGATTCTACAAAACTGCCTACGTTCTCTAAGAATTCAACAAAATAAAGGATTAGGAGGCCTATAAAGTCTTCATCGAGTGACAGTCTGGCATGCACAGGCAGCAGAGGACGGTGAAGGGCTTCAGATCTATTGCATATCCGCCTATCGCTGGTTTTGAGCAGAGGCTGAATAATGAAATACATAGAGACTGCCCCTTGTTTTCGTCATGTCAGGGCCTAGCATCCTAACGTAATGAAGTGTTGCATATATGCCGGTCGTGGGCTTGAGAAAAGTATGAAACGAATGAATAAGCTGTCATTGCAAAACACCTCCATAGTGGAGGGAAAGCCAGTGTCTAGCCTTCTTCGAGGCTAGAGCCGATACACCAGGCCCTGCAGAGGAAATTAAGAAATGGAGCGCCAACAATGCATCACTAAAAAAATTTCCTTTAATCGGGCGGTGTATGGAACGCAAGACATCAAAGAAATCTGCACTGGTCGCGGTACCTCTTGGACCTAAATTAGTACCTGCTGCAGGACAATGATGGCGTTATCCTTAAGACAGGTCTGGCAAGAACGCTGGAGATTGCTGTGGTTGTCAGTTCAACTGCAATAAGTGCCTAAGTTCAGTTCAAAGGGGCGCTTCTAGCTGTTGTGACATGCCCATTTGGTGGGCGTTTATGCTCTCGAAACAGCAGAGCAACTGAGCCTGCCGTCTTTATCCCTTCAAGGTTGTACATTTCCCGAATGTCCCTTTCTTTCGGACCAGTCGTGATGTAAATCCTAGCAGCTTGCACTTCTTGGCGAACTGTCTCCAACGTGCTTCAACCTTTGTTGAACATCGCGGCCTTTAGGGTTACACAAGGCCTTTGACTATAGCCTTGGCATTACATCACCTCGCCCATATACTGTATCTGAGGTCGTTCGAGACCACGCTCAACTAGAGAGGCACGCTAGTGAGCGGCAGACAGGCAACCAGTGCTTCAGGGCTTATTTGTCCTAGCTTGGCGTGACTAACATTCACTCTTCATTACATGCGCCAAGACGATAATAAGAATGAATTTATTACCCTTAACGTAAGAAGATGCCTCAATACTTTCCCTCAGCAGCACATTTTGAGATGCACCTCGCGGACAGCGCTCGTTTCTGACAATGTCACACCCTCACTGAAGTTAATTGTGACCTCAACGCCGCCTTACAAATTGAATGCAATGCAGCATCATCGCTTTACTCACCAACGGATGCTGTGGAGCGTTATGAGATTGTTTCGCTACACAGCCAAGTGACAGCACCACTTCAAGGCAGAATTTCCTATCGTCGTATGTCAGGTGCTATCAAGCATATCGACACGAAATATAGATATTGACTGGTCCAAGAAATCAGGCGTGGTCGTTTTCAATAGGAGATCCACTCCTGAGCAACCAGTCCTGTTACCCAGCCCCCATCGATGTTACCACCGCGCCACTGGCAGATCTACAGCAGACAACTCTTCACCTCTATAATCCACGCGCTACTCGTTTGTTTTCAACCTCATTTCATTAAACTTTCTCGTCTAGTCCCGAGGCCACTGCAGTACGGTGCAGGCCTACCACGGGTGAAATGTTCAGTTGCCTTCGCCTCAAAAATAGCTAAGCAGAGGTGCTATGAGCGAGCA